TTAGATAAAAATCGCAATAATTATCTCATTTTAGAGTTAGATAATGGAGAGTCCGTTTTTGTTTTTAGTGGTAAAGTAAACCAGGAAAAGTGAGGATGATTAACTGAGGGCAAAGAAATAAACTTTACGGTAGAAGAAGGAAATAATGGTGCTAATTTATTAGTGGATTATGAGATTGAGACTTAAAATAACTTAATCTCATGAAAAAATCCTTAATTGTCAAAAGTAATATTCAAGAAATTAAAAGAGTTTGTGAAGAGAGGGGAATAAATTACGAAATTTATCAAGCAAAAAAACCTAACAAACCTAAAATTACTGACCAACAATTAAAGGAAGCCTACCAAAAACTAGCCAAAAGCAAAAATTACGAAAAGGAAATGCAGTTGTGAGATACTTTGGAAGAAGATGAATAAGCCCAAAATAATTAAATATCGTTCAGTCTACTGAGTTAAATTAAAAAAAGAGGTCGGGAGTGAAATCTATAAAACTCGCCCTTGTGTGGTAATGAGTAATAATTGACAAAACTCCTTAGGTAAAAGAGTAGTTATTATTCCTTTTACTACTACTCCTATCCCAGATATTCCCTTTCATATTCCCATTGAATTTGCGGGAAAAGAAGGGAAGATACTACCTGAGCAAATCCGTTCGGTAGATAAAAAAAGAGTGGGCAGAAAATTGGAGAACTACCTGAAGAAGTTATGATTGAAATAGAAGAAATGCTTCATCTACTTCTTAACTTTAAGTGTTAGAGTTTTTTTACTCTGTAAAGATAGATAACTATTTCTTATTTTCCAAACATTCGCTAATTTTTCCCAATCATCCAATAATTTCTCCAAAACCCTTCACAAAAACCAACCCCGATTTTCTCTCATATAGCCTTCCATATCAGTTAACATATCAGTTCTTATATGAGAGCAAGCCCTGCCGCAGAGACTTTAACAACTCCCTAAAACAATCATATAGCCCTGTAAAAGCCCGGTAACGGAAAACTAAACTATCAGCACTCAGAAAAAAATATTGAAGGCTCTCCTAAGAAATTAGCAACCTTCCAGCTCTCCTATTTATTAGCAACTGAAATAAATATTTGCTTCTGAACTTCTCCTCCTTATAAGAAAAAAATAAAAGAATTAAAAATATGAGTAAATTTCAACAACTTACGGAATCAAAATGAACTTATTTAGCAATTGCGATTATTGTGGGTTATGTGGCGGCTTATGGTTATGAGAATTGATTACTAAAAAAGAATAGGGATGGCTAAGCAAATTAAACCGGCTCCCTCTTCCCCAAATCTAGCCTCCGCTTATGACCTGATTATCGCTGACTTATTTAACAAATTAGCCAAGATAAAAGAAGGAACTATTAAATTGGGAACCTTAGGAACTCTCCATAAAAAGCGACGCATAATGAAAAGTGCCTTAAATGGTCGAACTTATGCTTATTATCAAGTTAGTTTCAAAGCTTCGGGCAAGTTGAAAAAAGCCTTAGATAAATAATTATGGATAAGAAAATATTATTACTAGTTGCCGCGGCCGTTTGTGTCGGTATTTATTTCTATGGCTCGCAAGTAGATAAAGAAAATAAATATCTGAAACTATTGCCGGTCATCGGAGGTGGAGCCTATGCTTTAAACTTTATCGTCAATTTAGCCACTAACTAATTATGAATAACTCCCAAAATCAGCACCGAAATAACCAGCCAGAAAACCAGAATAATCAACAATCGGCTAATTCTAATCTGCAAAATCAGCCTAATCAGCAGTCTTCGGGACTAATGCAACTAGTCGGAGCCGTTTTACCGGCTTTACTGGAACATTTTACCGGACAGAAGATGACCCAAAATAGTAATAGTCCTGAAACCCAGTTAATGCTTTCGCAAATTCTCATGTTGCAGCAGCAAATCATTACTAATCAACAAGACCTTAACCAAAGGTTAGTTAATTTAGAAATGAGTGCTTCCCAGCAACTCACTAATATCAACCAGCAAGTCCAAAGCATTAAGTCTATTCGTTTAACTCACCAAAAAGAAACCAAAGCCATTGATTACAATCTCAATCAAGAGCAAGAAACTAATTAACCATGTCTCTCTTCCCTGATATCACGCCCTTAGTTAAGGAAGTCCAACAATTAAATCAACATCAGCAAAAAATTATTGCCCTCTTAGAGGAACAAAATAAAATATTACAACAATTAATCAAAAAATAATATGGCAAAAGACGTAACCGAACAAATGGATGTCGAATCCTCATTTTACAACAAGCCCCAGTATTTAAACACTCATCAGTTAGAATACTCCGTTAAGCAATTCTTTGTTTATGGAGGTCTTGCTGCTGTCGCAATAACCCTGGGCGTTACTTACATTTATTTATTAGTTCAAAAAATCAAAAATTAATATGTCAAATCCGAATCAAGAAAACACTTTACAAAGTTGAGCCACTGGCAAATTAGCCCTGTCATTAATCGGTATAGCCGTCGGAATATTCTTGTATAAATCAGGAGTAGTCCAAAAGTTAACTGGTAAATTATTCAGCAAAAAAGAGAGCGAGTAAAATTGCTCTCTAACTGCCTTTTTATAAGCCTTTTATGTCTAATCTCAATAATTCTAACCTCAAAGACATCATCACTACTATAACCCTACTCAAAAAAAGTGTCAGGTTTTTTATATCCATATTCAATTTCTACTTCATCTACTATTGATAATAAT